TCCACAGTCTTCAAACTCACCATTAAGACTCCTTTCATCTCATAGCTCACTAGCAAATTGAATATATAAAGCACCTTTCACACAGAAAGTCAGGGAGCAAAGCACTAAAGCAAAACAAATAGCAGTGATTAAGGAAAATTGAAAGCAGCAGTAAAAATATGTTTCTTTAGTCTACTTTTAAATACAGACTGGGAACTGCAAATAGCTGGGAGTATATATAAGTGGAAATTTTTTTTGTCTTCATGATTCTATGGTGTTGAATACAAATAAGAAAAAAAACTTGTTGCTGCAAAACTCAGCAATATTTTTGAGGTTATTTGTTTTAAATATTTACCTTCATTTATTTAGTAATAATTTTTAAACTCACTCAAATATTTTGTCATTTCCTAGTCCAAACAATTTTGACATGCTTTAGACTTATTTTAAGTGATTTTAGGAAAAATGGTTTAAAATGGTCTTTCTCACCCTGAGAAGTATTAAAGAAAGGGAGGCAAATTTTCAGGTCTTCATAGCATTAGTGGGCAATTTAAAGAGCTCAGAGTGAATGTTTTATTCTGCATTGAACAGTATTTAGATAATTCATCAGGGGATTTACAGTTCTTCAGTGGGATAAAACTGAGCTGTTTAGAAGAGTCAGGGAAACACTTGGGTGAATGGCTGTTGTCAATCGGTGCTTCTCTTAGTGTAACCACTGGCCCACTGAAGTACTTCAAAGAATACTCTGGCAGCCATGAATTGGGAGAAAGAAGGAGCAAATGAAAATTTTACAGCTCTTACTTTTTATCTATAATTTTTTTCAACAGTGTTGTTAAATAAAAGTCAGTTTAATAAAGGAAGATCATTGATTTTTGGTGAAGAGATAGCAAGATTAAAATAAGAAATTTGGGAGAATGCTTCACTCTCCTTCTCTTGCTCTCCCTGCCTTTCTTCTACTTTTAACTTGCTTTAATTCCCTTTCCCTCTGTCCCCCTTTCTTTTGCCAACACACCAATTTCAACAGTTGTTTATGTATATCATTTTCTCATTTCTGAGTTGAAGAGCTTTGAACCAGCTCATGTTTACTGATGAAAATAAGTCTCTACTAATGTACCTACCAAACTTAAAAGCTACCAAGCAGAGCTTAAGAAAAAGAAGGAGGCAGCAAGAGCAGTAGGAAAAAAAATGAATTTTTCTTTTCTTAACCCTCAATATTCTTCATTTTCTAGTTAGATGTTGGAGAGAGATTGTGAGTGTATCTCCTGAGAGCTTACAATTTTGGCAGAGGTAAAGAAGGAGGTGCCTCTTGTTATTAGTGTGGGTGGGAAGCATTTGTTAAATTTGGCTCGAATCCATGCAAATAGAATTTTGGAAGGTCTGGTGATTTTTTTAAGGCTATTATTATAAGGTATTCCTCATTATGCAATGGGGAATTTTGTGTATTAATGAGTATTAATAAGATTAGTCCATGGACTGCTTTGATTTTATTGGCTGAAATGTTGGCTTATAAATTATAATTTCAGTGTTGCAGAATGTATGTGGATTCATATTTTGTTTGTCTCCTCAAGGATTATGTAGAATTTCTCAGTCAAGTAGATATTGAAGGGTAGTGAGAAATTGCTGAGCCATCAAAAATTTTTTCAATGTTCAGTTCCATTTCTTCTCAAAAGTAATCTCTAGGTTACCTTTGGAATCCCCTTTCCTTATGTCTCTGGAACTGTTTTCAAAACCCTGAAGCAATTGCTAAAAATGTACATACCCTAGCAATATTCCCAGGAAATTCTGATCTAAAAAGTTGGGAGTGAGGCTGTCAAAAAATGCTCAAAGAGAATATTAAAACAGTTTCTGGAAAAATGCTGTGGGATAATAAATTTTTACCTCTACTATTTCCCTAAGATAAAAAATATTCAATTTGTGTAAATAAGTATTAAAATCAGAACACTCTAATATGAGACAGATATCTTATAGGGTCAATCTGAGTACTAGATATTCAAAATTTCTGGAATGGAAAGTCTCCAGACTTTTGCAAGTACTTTACCAATATTTTATTTGACCCTTAAGTCATATATCATCATTCACTCTGGTAACTAGTTAGTAACAGACTATGATATGCAGATATGATGTAAATTATCAGATGAAGTGAGTAGAGAAATGTGGAAGAAAGGTTTGAGGTTAATTGTGGTAGAGTTTAAAATTATAGTCATGAACAGACTTTAAGTATCCACCTTATTTTGGCTTCCAGAAAAGATTCTGCACAGGTGTATTTACCTAGATGATCTCCAGTGTGGTGACTCTTAATTGTACACCTCAGATTTTGGAAAATGCTGAAAGAGCCAGGCTCTGATCTGGATAATGGCATGGGGATGTTGGCAGATTATTATACCTCTTGATTTCTGGGAGTTTAGCTTTAGTCTTTCAATGAGGTACATCGTTGAGGAAGATCCAGTACCAGATGGTAATGTTGGCTGGGAGTGGTTTTCTCACCTACATTTGGCAGCTCTACTCGGAAGTGGTGCTTTCAATGCCTGAAACTTCCATTCTACAGCATTTAACATGATCGTTGGGAAGCTTTAGGTGGTAGGTACAGTGACACATCTCATTAAAGGTCCTGTAACTGTAAACATCTGACATCTGTGCTGAAAATAGAATTGGATATGGCCTTCAACTGGTATGTTGTTTTTTAAAGACACTCCTGAAATTCATTATATTAACCAAGTTTGTAATTTCTAGAGGCATTTTTCACTTGGAGAAATAGATTATAAAAGAGTGGGCTGCCCATTTTAAAGATAGCCTCCTGTTAAACAAATACCCTCTTTTCCAGAATTTAGACAATGATTTTAGCCAATGTCATTTAATAATAATAGTAATAACCATCCTAATTTAATTCTCTGTAATGTGCTAAGATACTTTATGCATAAGCTATACAACAGCCCTCCAAGATATTTCCATTTTGTAGACGAAGGACCTGAGACTCAGAGGTTAAGGCACTTGCTGAAGATCATAAAACTCCTAAGTGACAGAGCCAGGATCCTGCCAGCTCTCTGGATGCCCAGTGGGGTCTCTTTCAGTCTTGCCACCAACCCCTGCAGTATGTACAGGAATAGAGTTACCATTCATTTCTACAAACTGCCACAAGCAGCTGTTCATAGAAGCTTTCCTGTAGTTTACTGTTTAAACTGAACATTTTTCTAAGGAAAGAGGAAACAAACGGATTCAGCCTTTAAGGAGCTTACCATTCAAATAATCCTTTTCCACATTAAAGAGTAACATCCTGATTCTTCATACACATTTCTAGGTGCTTAAACTTTAGGTTTTAAAAATACTGCATGGTTCTTCTTATTGGAGATTTTAATGAAGTTAGGAAATAATAGGTAACCAAATGGAAATGTGTTTATCCTAAATTTGGTCTGTCTCCTCACAGCTGTAGAAATTCATTTTCAGCCCTCTCCTCTTCTCCCTTTACAAAGTCCTAAAGCACAAACCCATTGGGAGTCCCCTCCATTGCCCAAAGGAAATATTTCATTCATATAATGTCTCCTTTGTAATCAACACTGAGAAATGTCACTTTGATTAAACACAACTCTGAATGACTAAGACCACAGTACAATAAATTCTCCAGAGCTATCTTTCAGAACAACTGATTGCTCTCCAGTCTTAATCCTCCAGAGTCTTATTTAATCAAAATGATGTTGCTAATTAAGGATTAAAACTTCCGAATAGAATAAAAAAGGATTTTTCTTTCTCCTTTGGGCAGGTCAAGGAGGCAGAATTTGCTATAAAGAAGTAGAGTCCTTTCCACCTTTGGTGAAACTGCATTATTCTCTGACATTTGGACTTAATCCAAAATAGGCCTGAGTCTTTGTAATATTAATATAATCAGAGAAAGAGAGGGGGCAGGGAGGGAGGAAAAAAGGGAAGGAAAGAGGAAAAGAAACCGTCTTGGATAGCTGCATATAGCTAGACAACATTTATTCTAATATTTCTTCATTTGATTTAACATGAGTTTTCTTCAAACATTTTGTCTGATGCTCTCTGCGCATTGCTTTTATCTGTCGCTACTGTTATCCATTGCTAATGTTGGAAAGAATATTTTGGAGAAATGTTGGCAACCCATTTCACAGAAAAGGGAACAAAAGAGTTAATGTATCGCAGATCTGTTTGACATCCACTGATGAATAACAATAAAAACAAGAAAATTCTCTATTAAATGCTGAGATGCTCTACCTTAAGGTCAAAATTTCAATTTTTTAAAATTTGTATTTGATAATAAAAACTGGTTCCTTAAAACCACATAGAACTGTATAAGAACTCATTGGGAGAGGCAAAGATTCACAGAAAGGTGGTTTGGTTTTCAGGGAATATAAACTCTCAGATGGTGGGACTGAAGTGGATGTGAAACAAGTGCCAGTTAATGTTTTAACAAATTTTAACCACGTCTTCTATCCTTTTCATCTTCTCTTCGCTTTGCCCTGTGAATGTATAATCCCTGCCAAATTGGTCTACTCCAATATAATAACTACCAATAAGTTACCACTTATTGATCACCTACTTTGTGCCAGCTTCCCTGCCAACTCTATACATATTATTACCTGTAATAAATCCCAAGAAGAGGCATTATTATAACCTTTCAGAAATGATCACACTGAAGCTAATAGAAAATAAATGACTTGGTCAGGATCAGGCAGCTTGTGTTGAGTTTAGACTTCCACCCAGGCCCGTTTGGCTCCAAAGCCACATTCAATATGAGAAGCCATTTCACACTTATTTACTTGGAGTTTAAATTTATCAATGTATTTCCAGAAGGTGCTGGTAAGTTGTGTTGGTCTTTACCTGACTCATAGGCTCCCATGGCTACTGACTGAGTCATTGTCACAGGTGTCGCCATATGGTCCATTACCCATCCCAATCAATAAAGAAGACTGAATTACCACCATCAAAATGGGACCAGAGAGTAAACAATGAGAAGTCCCAAAGGGAAAAGGAATGTCATCAAACTTGTTTCTCCCCCAACCAGTGTCCCTTACCAGTTAACAAAAGATGTTTGATTCTGTGATCCAATCTTCTGAAGGCTGTAAGCACCCAATGGGCAAACGATGGCTCTTAGTCCTCCCGTGCCAAGACAGATAGCCAACAGTGCTGTGTACAACAGCCTGTTCCGCCCCGCTGTTGATCACGTAGTGAGTACCTATATAGAAATCTTCCAAGGGAAAAGCAGCCATAGATAACAAAGCAGTGCCCGTAGACAGAGAAAAAAGGAGAATAAATATGGCATAAACCAACTGAATCACCAAATCAAATCACAGGTAAGGTTTTTCCCCTGAAAGTAGCATCATTATGTGATTGTCTTATTAAAATGTGGGTTAAGCATTGCAATTCTGGAGACAGCATGATTTTTTCTAAATGTGAACATTTTCTTCAGCATGTATTTTATCTAACCCAGGATCCTAGTTCCCTCCCCTTCAAGCCTGAATTATCTTTTTTTCTCAGAATGTATAAGAAAATCATGCCCATTTTAACAAAATTAAAACAATTTAGAAGTACATCATGTAAGAAACTAAAGATGTCTGTAATCCCCCCTCTCAGAGAAAACCACTGCTAGCAAGGGTTATTTGTTCTTCATAAATCAAGTGATAGAAAACGTGATGATCTCAGACATCTCAGAAGCCTGTTAAATAAAACATTTTAAGAATAATATTATTGTACTTAGAGGAGAACATAGCCTCTCTTAGCCTTTTCTACTTCTCTTCTCCTTTTAATGCCCTCTTATTTCTCCATTTTTCAAGCAGTGGGTTGGAGCCTCCTTTGCCTTGCACTGAGGTAAGAAAGCTGGAGAGAGGGGTGTGAGCTGTGTGAGGCAGTCCATGGCTGCAGGAGGGGAAGACAGATAGTGATAATGGAGGATTGAGCATTCTTCAGAGGGACCACACCTGGAGACTTCTGTTGTCTAATAGAAATTATGATTCAGTTCCATACTTTTGCTAAGCTCTTTATAGTCTGTATTGTTTCCTCTTGGAAAAACTTTGTGATGTCAAAAGATAGATTTTCTTATTCTGATTTTGCCAAAAAGGAAAGAAAGAACAAAAAAGAAATAAAAGAAACAAGTTCAGTAAGGTTAAGTGATTTGCCCAGTGTTACCAAGTAACTCAGATGTAATCTCCCTTTTCTTGGAATGTCTGTCAACGGGTCAAATCATCAATTTTTTTTTTGTCAGTTTGGTTAGCGAAAATGGCTTCTCCGTGTTAGTTTTTGTCCTCCATTTTGTTAATTTAGTATTCCTATTTTTGGTATAAATTTTTATATGGTTAGTTTTCTCAATTAGACTACAAACTCCTTAAAGGCAAAAAAAATTATCTAATGTTTCTGTCTCTCTTACAGTGACTTTCACAATGTGAGGAATATATACATGCAATAGTGATTTGGTAACAGATTGATTTACCATGAGGGTAGACCCTTTAAATTATTGAGTTTGTAGTGTTTCTTATTGGGGTTAGCCAGACATAAAACAAGCTACTCTCTCAGCCACTCGGTGCTCATCTCTAGAAGGGTGATGTCTGGCTGGGCTAAGGTTATACAAAGAGGATGGGTAGAGGAGTTTCTTCTCTGCAACCATTTATTTAAAGACAACACTTTTAGTGGTACCATTATGTAAGTTAGAAAGGTACTTTGCGCCCATCTTTTGAGAACATGTCATAATATACTGATTTCATTAGATCAAACCTTTATTTCTACCTGCTATAAAATTGATGTAATAAAAACACAAACCTATAACATCTATGATTTTAAAAGTGTCTTTTGATGTGTGCTATTGTGCAGTGCACAGTCAGCACACTTGGACTTGATAGCCCTGTGTAAGGCACCAGAATGTGTCATATCCCCTGTTAGGTGGTGGGGGCCCACTGGCCCTTGTCTTGAGGAGCTAATGAGTCCAAGGGAAGGCAGACATGCAGGTGGATAGTTATATTATGATGTAAATACAATCATAGAGGTATGAGATTAGTGTTACTGAGTACAGAGAAGTGAGCAGCAAGCACTACACGGGTCTTGAAGGAAAAGCAGGTGGTTTCAAGTCTTGGCTATGGGGTGGAGAGATAAAGGAAGGTTAACAATTTCAGGCACAGGAAAGAGCACATAGAAGATGAGAAAAGTAGGGAAATAGGCAAGGAGAAGTTTTCTATGGTTGAGGTTGTACATTGAGATGGAAATCTGGAGAGGGAAATTTGGGACAAATTGTGAAGGTTCTGATGTATGAAATTGGGTTTTATTTTTTAGATAAAGGAGCCAATACATAGATTTATTCTTTCGGGAAGTCAATTTGGTAGAAAGATGTATGGACTGGAGTCACATTGATGACTGAGCCCAGTAAGTAGGCCATTGGGATAGTCAAGAAAAAAAAAAAGCTGCCTTTTTGAGCTAAGGTTTTAGCCATTCATACAGAAGACACGTTTTTGATAAAACCTCTGATACTTAGTGACTGGATGAAAATTGATGGAAGCTGTGAGTGAAAGACACAATGAAATAACTTTTATTTTATAAAAAATGAATGGACATGGAGTTTGATTAAGGTGTTTTGTTTGCCAAGTTACAAAATTTGAACTTCAGTCCTAGTCTGTTGATTTACACAGGAATTTAGACTAATAGAAATCACCTTGTTAAGAAGTTACCAAGTACTACTGATATGGCTTGTTACCAAGTTAAAAAGAATAGATCACCCAGGCCCTTGCTTAAATGTCTCCTTATCAGAAAACATCCCCTGATACAGAATAGCAACATTGTCACTCTAGTCCGTCCTGTCCACTTACCCAGCATTCTCTTCATCATGACACTCATTAGCATCTGACACAGTATCTATTTACTTATTTTCTCTCTGTACCAGAAAGTCCACTTCAGCAGAGAAGAGACTGCTTTCTTCTCTGTTGCATTCCCAGATCCTAGAACAATGCCTGGGACAGAGTAGTCAATGAGAAATATTTGTTGAATGTTCAATGAATATTTGCCAGGCAGTGACTTGGTTTTTATTTCAAAGAACTGAAGCAATGAAGAAGCTTACAAGTTTGTATCACACTCTAATCAATTCAGTGAATGGTAATTTACCCGCTGCCTGAAATTGCGTAATATGTTGACTACCTAATACCGTCCCTTCCTCAGGTATCTCCCTGTCTGTCCCCCAGAGCTGCATTTTTGCTGTACTTCTCCATATTGATGAGCAGTACACTACTTTCCTAAGTTCTTCAGCTCAGAAGCTTGGAGCTGATTTTTTTCCTCCATCATATTTGTGTCCTTATTTAGTTGCTTAATTTTTATGGTTTTCACATATTCTTCCCTGGATTGACACTTCTCCATTGCTTAGACCATCATCCTGAGATTTTCTGGTCTGGATTTAACCTCTCACTGTGGTTGCTCATCCTATTTATTGAAGAAAAGTATTTCCCAAATGTTTTCATCATATTTTTTGTGACTCTTTATTGTCTAGAAGAACAACTTGAACTTTTCGGCCTAAACTTCTAGGCTATTAATCAACTTGCTCTCTATACCTTATCCATCTTGGTATTTCCCCAACATTTCTTGTAATCATTTCATTCCCAAACTTTCCTAGACATATGTATTATTCTCTATGTAAAGAAGCACAGTGTAGTCTTGAGTTCATTCATTTTTTAGCATATAGTCATAGTTCACAATATAGAAAGCATGTCTTCATATGCAATCTTAATTATTAAAAGACCACCACTGGATGAAAACATTCCTCAATTATTCTACATGAACTTCAAAACCTTTTTAGCACACTTCATCTTAGTTGTGAAGCAAATGAATTTCATGTTTCACATAGCATTTGTCATGAATTTGGTCTTGGGGTAGGAAGGGTGAAAGGAGGGCATTCTAAGGAAAACAGAAGACAGAAATGTAAAGTATTCTAAAATATAATCAGTGCAAAACTATAGATTTGAAAGCATCCTCTAACACACACATTTACTAGCACCCCTCAATTAATACAGAAGATGAAATAAATTGAAATAACATTCTTACTTCATTTATTGCATTTTACACAAGAACAAGTAGAAATAATAATAAACTAAAAATTCTAACAAAAATCTTTGCAAAACAATCCAGTCAGAGGAGGACACTCACCTAGGAAGTGTAGAAATAAGCAAATATATACCAGTTTGTTTCTTCCTAGACAGACATCAGCAAACCATCCTGCAAACACAGGGGTGAGTCTTGAAGTTCCAATAAAACACAAGTTCAGAATGGCTGCTTGGTAATTGCAATAGCCAGGCTTGACAGTGCAAAAGGGAATCATATTGCAGATGACTTCAAAGAAAGTGAACCTCTCACACAGCTCCACCAGAAGCAAACAGATTCCAGCCCAATTTTTTTTCATAGAGTATGATAAATAGAAGTAACCAATATGTCTTATAGTTTTCTCCTTCTCAATGCCATGATTTAAGGGTACTTTCTCCTCAGTGATTTTAGAGTCTATAACAGACATGACTACCCTCTTTGAATACAACTTATATTAGTGGTTTGAACTTGGTGATTTTTTTTTTACACCCCACCTCGCTAATGAAAAAATAAATAAGATCTTTGCTTTGAATTTCACAACTCCATGCTAAAGTTTCTTAAGGTTTTTTGCACATTAACGGTGTTCATGTTGAAGATAGAGGATATGGGAGAGGAGACATGAGTATTTAAATGTTCATGGTAGCCCAGTGTAGCCAAATCTGATTTGTCTAATTACTTAGAGGCTAAATTAGGCTCTTCCTCCAAAATTAT